TTATTGGTAAGTTCCACGACGTTGTAGTTCACCTGGATATGAAGTCATTGACAACTAACACTTGTTCTATAAACGTGCTGTCAGAAGTGATGTTCAAACAGTTTCAACAGAAGCTGTGACTTGGTCTGACAGTATACATGACACCTATTGCTTAGAGGGGGCGGTGGGGTAGCCAAATGGTTAAAGCGTTGGCTCGTTACGCCGAAGACCCGGGTTTGAATCCCCACAAGGGTACAATGTGTGAAGCCCATTTCTGGTGTTCCCCGCCGTGATGTTGCTGGAATATTGTAAAAGCGGCGGAAAACCAAACTCAGTCAGTCAGTATTGCTTAGAGATGAGTGAGTGAATGAGTTAAAATGTAAAGTCACATCGGCAATATTTCAGCCATATCGTGACTAAAACAAGTCTTTAACTTCATCATAAATACATGTAAATCACTAAAAACCTGTCAACGAAGGACAGTAAAACCAACTAGAATATCACAGACACAAAAAATAAAACTAGTTGCTAAGAGATGAAATCGCGCGATTGCTTAGAGATGAAATGGCGCGATTGCTTAGAGCTGTAATTCCTCAAAACCAGACATACCCTCCTTTTGTTACACCTTTAGAAATGAGATCAAACAAGACAATACACATTGTTTATTTCTTCAGATATACTCGAGCCAGTCATAACAGTAAACTATAAAATGTTCATTGAATTTAATACATAATATGTCACCCTGTTTAACCAAAATTTTTTTTTTTTAATCAGTGGGCGGTGAAATGAGCATTCTCTCCATTAAGATATCTCTCATCTGAAGACAACATATTAAAATTCAGAATGATTTTTAGAGATGTATAAAGGATTCCAAACAATGTCAATGAAATGGACTGACGGCGGTAAGCACGAGTCGCGTTCCAACAGTGAAAGAAGTCTTAATGCGTCCGGATAGACGAGAGTGCACCTTGATGGATGCGACACCATCAACACGAAACAAAGACCGTTGTTCTGCAATGAACGTGGCATATTGTTATGTTACTAACGTTCGTATCCTTATGCATACGAGACAGAATTTCTGCTTGGATTTGTCAATATTAAAACGAGGGCATTTTGCCATGCATTTTTTCAGATACACTTAACATGGCATCAATAATGGAGGAATAGCCAACTGCAACTGATGTCTCCACTTAGACGAGAAGCAATAGGCTAGCGCATCCCCTTTATCTCTTTCATACGTGTAGTGGTTAGAGCGTCCGCCCGGAGAGCGGAAGGTCGCGGGTTCGATCCCCGACCGCGTCAAACCAAAACACGTTAAAATATGGTACTTGTTGGTCCCTGTCTGGCGCTCGGCATTAATGGGTACAACAAGGACTGGTCGGCTCGGAGTCAGTATAGTGTGTCTGAGTGGGGTATTCATGCTTCACTGCGGCATGGTATCTCAGTGGGCTAGCACTATAAAAACCAGCTTCAGTCTGGGCTAGTACAAGCAGCCGCACATACACATACACACGCATGCACGTCGTCATATGAGCGAAATATTCTCCAGCACGACGTTAAACCCAATTTCACCTCAACTCACCTATCTCTTTCATACTGACATATGTGCAGAGAGATGGGAGTGACGGGAAACTCGCCACATGATTGCATTTGAGGACGGAGGACTTGCAACTTTCCCCTTACGTCGAGCCTTAAGCTACAGCCTTTCGTTTCACATTTTTCTAGGTATAACCGATCATACTCTTCCCATGAAGATAACAAAGATTGTCACATAGCTCACAAGTCGTTTGATTATATCACTCGGAGACTGCAAAGACAGACAAAAACGACGTTTAAAGGTGGTCAAGAGATTTCCAAATTTTGCATGTGTTTTTGACACAATTGTCATGTATCATGTATTTTAATGTACTTTTGTGTGTTTCGTTTTCATCCGTTTCTTTTCTATTTCTGCTCCGGTATGAAGTGTTGTCGGAGGCGAACATTATCGATCGATATTAGAAGAGACATAACTCTTGAAGATTAATAACGAACTTCAGATGATTATTTTTTAAAATCCGCCGTCGTCGTTTAGAATATATCTTTTGGGCAGATCTTTTCCCACTTCATCAATGAAAAAAAAAGCATATTCTACAAAGACAAAAATGATAAAAAGAACTTTCATTGATAATTGCTGAATTCGCCATGTGAGTTGGATTTCAAGGTCAAGGTCAAGGTCGTCCATACTACCTGTTGGAACAGGACGAGATGGATTCATACTACCCGTGAATCTCTAGAACACGGTTGCATATGTATTTGCTGTTAGCCAATCGAAAGTCCTATTTTTTCACTATCCACGTGCGGAAAAAATGTGTTGAAAAAGTAAAATATATATTCTCCGGAAAAGTACAATATATTTTTCAACTTTAATCGTTTGAATGCATCTTCGTTAATTATTATGTGAGATATGTCTGTTAAGTGTGTTCAGGTTAAATATATCTACAGTATAGGTAGGCAAAGATTGTGAATACAAACAAACACTCGAAAAGCAGTACTGGCGCATTACTTGGAGACCCGGAAACTGGAGGCGTATCTTGGATGAAGGCATTGACACGGGCCAGACTTCCGTTGTTCGGCGCTGGTTTAATGTTGAGCAGTTTACAAACAAGAGGGTAGATGTCGACATTCTGGATTGGATCTGACGTTAGGTTGGCCTTGAAGTTGGGTCCCCTAGCCAGGAATATTGGCTTCATAGACATCAATGCGTTGTCGTGACCGTGGGTGGCTTTTAGTGTACTTTTGGCCTTTCTGGTCTTGTTCTGAAAATATATGAGAAGAAATTGGAAATATGAGTGAGTGAGGTGGGTTTAACGCCGCTTCGGACAATGTCAGTTGTGTCACGGTTTGTCCGCAGGATATGGGATGGTAGCCCGAAAAGATTCAGTTCTCACATATTCGCGAAGCCCATAAACACGTATGTGGTACAGACAAATCCCGGACTAAACGGGATTAGAACCCACAACCATAGGTTTCCTGCGTGTCCAAGGGAGGCAACTCTTCCAGCTAATAACAGCGCCTCATATTTATATTTACTGTCACCATGGCAGATGTTAAAGCAATCGAATCTGGTACCAATGGTTCAAGAAGTGACATTGTTTATGAAATAATTACTGACTGACTGATTTTGGTTTTACGCCGCTTTTAGCACTATTCCAGCAACATCACGGCGGGGGACCCGGGTCTTCGGCGTAACGAACCAACGCTTTAACCATTAGACCCCAACGTCCCCTTTACGAAATAATAAAGCTGGAAACATTTCTGAACTGAAAGTATATTACTTGTGATTTTGTGCGGATTCCAACTTATGTTGGGCTTCATGGCAATGAGATAGCAGACCAACTTCTGGCGAAATCTGGCTTGCAACCTCATTAAGTAACGACATCGGAATTCAGACCGTAACCAAGCGATTTTGACTACATATTGGTAAAATCGTTCACCTCAAGTTGTGGGATGCTGGAACTGCTGGGACTGCTGGCCGACACAACGTACTCAGTTTTTCCTCATGTAAAATCAAATTGGATTATTCGTCGACGTAAGAAAGGTGAAGCGGTCATAATCACTATACTTCGTCTTGGACACTGTGGTTTAAATGCCTACCACAGTGTCACAGATAAAGAGGCCTCTCCCGTATGTACACATCGTGGCGGAAATACTCCTAAATGCCCAGGCCACAATCATAACAGATTATATTTAAGAAGTGCAGTACTTGAGAAGGAAAGCTCATTTTCTCTAAGTACACTTCTGGACCCAAATATTTTATGGTTCCATTCAGCGGGCAATATTAAACTTCGTGTCTGCATCCGTAGAATTTGATATATACTGAACCGCAAAAGAAACGCCACATCGATAGAGGTTTCTTAAAGCAAACACTTTAATTCGCTTGAATTAACAGTCAAAGCGGAGGATTGAGTTTAAACTTCACAATTATGGTTAACCCATTTTGGGAATCACATTTAGAGTTCACACAAACAAAATCCCCAAATATGGTACCATTAGGATGACTCAAAGTCAGTATGGTGTGTGGCCGCCATGGGTATCGATGACGGCGTTGCGTCGTCTGTATATGGAATGAATTAGCCGGTTTATGAAGGCCATAGGCACTTGGGTCCATACTCTGCGAAATGCCTGAGCGAGTCCTGCCGCAGGTTGAAGGTCATTCAGTCTTCTTTGAGTCTCGTCCCACAGGCGTTCTATTGGACTTAAATCCGGACTGAGGCCATTGAAGGGTTTGGATGCTATGAAGTCCAATGTTGCTCTGGCAGTGTGGCCAATAGCGTTGTCTTGCTGGAAGGTATGATTTCTGTGACGTCAAAAATGTGGTACAACGTGGGGACTTATGACTTGGTCAATATAGCGAGCAGCTGTCACGCCGTTCCCTCGTCCTGGACCGAGATTCGGTCCAGGTTCAGACTGACTGAATCCTACACCATGACGTTTGGATCACCCCAAGAGTCTCTCTCAACAATACACTCATTGGAACACCGTTCCCCACGCCTGTTCCATACTCACTCTGCCATCGGCTGTCGAAACACAATATCGGCTTTCATCAGAAAAAAAGCACAGTTCTCCATTGTCGATAACGCCAATTTCGATGCTGAGTTACCCACTGCAGTCGGGTTTGGTGGTGACGAGCGATGCGGACAAGACCAAACGTCAACGCACTGTATCGACACTAACGGGTCTTTTGTGAGTCTCAATGTGCTGTTTCCGTCGCTCTGGTGAAGCGATCCTGCAGATGGTTGTGTACCATCTGACGGTCTTAATGTTGTGATGTTACTGAAAGCCTACTGCGTAGATTGTCCAACATGAACATTAAAATGATTTGCTACCCTCCGTGCAGTCTGGCCAACTTGCAGTCGTCCCAAGGCTTGGTTCCTCTGATCTCTCGTAAGTCATGGCATGGCGACTGTGTCAAAACAAGAATGATTTCAGGCGAGCTTGGGACTCGCTTTCAGTGGTAGGGTTGTCACGATATGCACGTACATTTTCATTTTCACGAATGTTTTACGGAACCTTTTACCACGTCTGCCTTTTTAAGTGTATTTGGTCCTTATGCTTTTTCCTACGAAAACAGACTGATGTTGGTAATAACGGTCAATCTGTATTGAAAAACATGTTAACACAACAGTACAATCATGAGAACAACCAATATTATTTAAGAACAAATTTTGCATTTGGTTCTGAAAGGTGACGTTTCTTTTGCGGGTCAGCATACAATTTGATAAACACTTAGGTCTGTATTGACTTTTAAACCAACGCACTCACACAGTAAAACTGTGTGGTTTCTCTTTTCTGACGGTCTGCTTGTTTATTGAACGAGTTCTTACTTTTTAGAAGTGAAATAGTAATAACTTGCGGTTGAAGTATAAACTAAATTATGAAGCGGATTGGTTAATCATCTCATTTGCATTACTCTCTTTGTTCTTGTTTTAGGTGGCCCTTTAATTCAAATGCCATACCCAACGGCGCCTCAGACGACCGGAACATCCTTATCAATGCCACCAGCCACAACTCCATGTTGTTCTTGATGGCCGAGGAACATGTATAGAACAGAGCTCGTAAGAGAATAACTTAGGAGGGTAACTTGGTTTTGTTTTGGTTGTTTGTCTTTTTGATTATATATTTCAAGTGTTATGTGAGGTGAGGTGAAATTGGGTTTTACGTTGTGCTTGAGAATATTTCGCTCCTAGACGACGTGCATGCGTGTGTATGTGTATGTGCGCCTCCTTGTACTAGCCCAGACTGAAGCTGGTTTTATAGTGCTAGCCCACTGAGATACCATGCCGCAGTGAAGCATGAATACCCCACTCAGACACATTATACTGACTCCGAGCCGACCAGTCCTTGTTGTACCCATTAATGCCGAGCGCCAAGCAGGGACCAACAAGTACCATATTTTAACGTCTTTTGGTTTGACGCGGTCGGGGATCGAATCCGCGACCTTCCGCTCTCCGGGCGGACGCTCTAACCACTACACCACGGAGGCGGTCAGTGTTATGTAGAACATACAAAGATAACGTCAGGGGAAAGCTGACGCTTGTCCGTTTACTGCAATATCAAATATAAGAAAACAAATTCTTCCCAATCAACTATAATGATAATCCAAAATACACACTTATATTAATGTCACACCATTTGGGGTTCTACTGAAGGTTTCTCCAGTCTTTTATAGTGGGAGTGTAACAAAGGTCGTTATGCGCTGGGAAGGAGCGGGCATGAAGGTGTGATTATTTACCCTTCTGTGATCAGGGACTTACTCATTGACCACCTCTGCTCAGATATGATAAATACGTGCATGACCAGTGACTTACAATGGTTATCTGCCCTCCCCCCATCTGCTATGGTGAACATCTGTATGACCCATGCACTTGTTTGGTCAGTACAGTGGCTATCTCCCCTTCCATGATGAATTTATGTATAACCCATCTACATGGACAAATAACATACAGTAGTTATCTCCCCTTCCTTCGTGACATGCAAGCACCATCTACGTGTACATCTATGACCTGTGACTTACAGTGGTTAACTGCCATCCCTCATCCGCTATGATGATAATGGGCATGATCCTTCTGTTTTCCTGGTAATGGAGACGTTCTGGAACATCCTCCTTCTTGTACACTGTGATGTGTTCCACTCCAGCCAGACTCTGTATAATGGCGTCGTCCTGGCCCTCTACCGGCAGAATATGCATCATGGGGCCGTAAATCGGGACACGATCGACCTTCGTCATGTCCACGTAATCGGTAATATCCACAACCTTAAAGATAATAAATTTTCTCTCATCAAATATCATGTTTGAAAATATTTCAGCGAATGGTACTTAAATTCGATGAGATAAACACGTTTATCCAACAAAAAATGTCATACGTTCTGTTCATTGTTCTATTTATTTTAATAGTACATACACTTTTAACAATATTCCAGTTACATCACAGCATGTCATGCTTGATACATTATGGCAAAACCCAAGAACATGGCTATGCGGTACAGGGAAACAGATCTGGACACATGTCCATAACACGTACTGACTCTAGTGAGTGAGTGAGTTGGATTGTCCGCAATATTCCAGCAATATCACGACGGGGAACCTGAAATGGGCTTCACACATTTCACCCATATGAGGAATCAAACCAGGGTCTTCAGCGTCATGAGCGAACGCTTGTACCGGGTTTAGAAAATCCACAAAACAAAATCAGACTTGTTTAGGTTTAAACTTATACCACTTCATCACTGATACCGTCATATAAGGTGTGATAATAATTTATATATTTGCACTGAAGCATTGGCGAAGGCTGCAGGAGCCATGACATTAGGTATACAGGACCAAAATAGATAAGGATATATGTAAATTTTGAAATTTTGAATACTGATCTATTTTTTCTTTGACACACTGATAAAATATCAATTATAAAAATACCAATATCCCTAACTTATTTTATCCAGTATACTTACTCATTCGAACAAAGGTGCCAATTTCTGGTGTCCCCCGCCTTGATATTTTAGAATATTGCTAAAAGCGGCATAAAACCATACTCACTCACTCCATCAAAGGAAAACGCCAATTCAAGACAAATTCATTCAAATCCATTCATTCAAGTGTCCCCGAAAATGCTTGCTTCAAGACGATATTTATGTTGTCTTTCACATGTTCACAAATAGTCCTCAGGGAAAAATTCAGCGGTTGAGGTCTCACGGTTGAAAACTGCAAAGATTGTTGCAGTAAAAGTTGCTCAAATATTATCAAGGTATTCATTACTTGATGTAAACAGTCCTTGGGAATCCTTAGTTAAGAAAAACCGAATTATATACATCAGGTTTGTCAGTTTTAGGGAGGGTTACCTCAACATATACGGAATATTATACACACATGTTAAATAACAACCGGTAACACACCAAACGTCAACTGCATTTATGTCAAAGGCCTAGGTTACCTTACCCGTGAAGACCGGGGTTAGAATTGATCTCCAGTAACCCATGCTTGTCGTAAGAGCGACTAAGGGGATCGGGTGGTCAGACTCGATGTCTTGGTTGACGCATCGTCATTGTATCCCAATTGCGTAGATCGATGCTCGTGCTGTTGATCACTGAATTGTCTGGTCCAGACTCGATTATTTACACACCGCCGCCATATAGGCCTTTGAGAGGCATTAAGAAGTAATACACATAAGGAAAAGAGTTGGGGGGTTTTCAACTGATGAAGGAGTAAGGATATACTCCGAAACGTTGTGTATATTCATAATAAAGAAGTTGACATCCATAAAAAAACTCTTTGGCCGTCATATAGCTGGAATATTGCTGAGTGTGGCGTATATCAACAATTAGTCAATTAAAATCAATCTAGGATACTTACCCCCTGACATGGCGATGCCATGTCTGTAGACGTTAAGGTCATCTTTGGGGTTCTGTTAAACCTGGATTTATCAATCATTTATAGTTATCGTTACTATATATTCCGAAAAAAACACCCTTTTCCTTGAGGTCTTCATCGGGCATGATATTTTATTATCACTTGGTTTTCGAGCAGAATATATGAGAGGGAATTCGCCCATCTCTGCTCGGTGGCGATATACTGAAATCGTCATCAGTTACGTCATCAACACGCATACCTTTTGAAACGTAGGATCTGTCTACGGTAACACGCGACTTACCTTATTGATGTTATCCACTTCAACCATTCCATGGTCACTGGTAACGATGACGTTGACTTCATTTTCCAGATCATTCTCCTTCATCTTCTGCACGAGGTAACCAAGGATTTCATCCATGTACATGACCTTGTCCCTGACCTCTTGTGATTCTGGCCCAAAGCTGTGTCCAGTTTTATCGGGTTCTGGGTAATACAGAGTGGCAAGTTGGATATTTTGGTTCTTGAACCAGTCAACGACGGTGTCAATTCGCTCCTTATAAGGCGTGTTGTCCGTATAGGGGTACCAGTAGTCAGGTCGTACACCTTGAATCTCAGCCTCGCTGCCAGGCCAAAAGTATGTCCCAGCCTTCAAACCCTTCAAAATAAATAAAACCCTTCAGAACAAAAGCATTGTTAACAATATTTTGGCTGTGCCAAGGCGCACTGCACATGCCGGTCAGAGACGCCATAAAATGTCCCGAGATGGGATTCGAACCAGGGACCTTCTAATCCAAAGTCGGACGCCTTGTCCATTATGACCAAAGAGGTTAGCCCTGTCAGCAAAGGATGTCATCTGACGGATGACTCCATCGCCCTGCTAGACTTGTGATGAAGCTCACGGGTTATGCCCGTGAAAGATGAAGGCTCATAATCGGTACCAATTTGGGACTCGAACTTAAGACTTCGTACTTCATACTAGTTATGTTAACACTTACACTGTTTGCTCTTTGTTTGTAGTTACCTTAATAAGACGTCAAAGTGGTGGATGTTGTTTTGGATTGACCGTGTTTTATTGATGTTTTACAATCACATTTCATGACGGTATTCTCTTAATATCACTCAGCCTTTAGAAATCTTAGCCGTGAACATTAGCAACTGGCGTAAATGAACATTAAAGGAAGGTATCCACATCAAAACGGTCTAAACCTGAGCTGAATAGGGACCAGGGTGTCTTCCTTCCCAATGCCCGGTGCATTAACCAATTTCCTTCCAACAATGAGACCGCCTCCGTGGTGTAGTGGTTAGAGCGTCCGCCCGGAGAGCGGAAGGTCGCGGGTTCGATCCCCGATCGCGTCATACCAAAAGACGTTAAAATATGGCACTTGTTGGTCCCTGCCTGGCGCTCGGCATTAATGGGTACAACAAGGGACTGGTCGGCTCGGAGTCAGTATAATGTGTCTGGAGTGGGGTATTCATGCTTCACTGCGGCATGGTCTCTCAGTGGGCTAGCACTATAAAACCAGCTTCAGTCTGGGCTAGTACAAGCAGCCGCACATACACATACACGCGCATGCACGTCGTCATATGAGCGAAATATTCTCAAGTACGACGTTAAACCCAATTTCACCTCACCTCACCTTCCAACAATGGTGTTTACCAACCATGCTGTACATCCCAATCACCTAATATCTATCACTGTATACCCTTTACTGGCTTCCATTTATGGCCATTCACCCTATGTAAACATGTTGTACAAACATTATGTACATGTATACCCTATTTAAGTTTTTAATTCTCTCACTAATCTATTATAAAAACAACTCTGTTGCTTCATGTACATACTATATATACCTCTGTAACTATTGGCTGTCATTCACCTGATGAAGGGACAAGTATTAGCACAGAAACGTCATGTGTAAATAATAAAAGACGTTGCACATCCATATCCATATCAAGTGTCTTGTATTACCCTACCAACTTCTAAATGCCTATCAAACATCTGACCCAGCCTTTACCTACCCTGACTGTACGTATTTCTTAATGGCCACCAAACTCTATATTAAACTATAAATATACAACTTAAAAGAAGGAAGGGTGGGATCTGTGTGTGTGCGTGCGTGCGTGCGTGCGGATGTGTGTTGTTACCCAAGTGGATAAGGCATTCGCTCGTCACGCCGAAGACCCGGGTTCGATTCACCACATGGGTACAACATGTGAAGCCTATTTCTGGTGTCCTCCGCCGTGATATTACTGGAATATTGCTAAAAAGCGGCGTAAAACTAAACTCACTCACTCACTTAAAGGACGTTTCAACTAGAAAACAAAACAAAACAACGAAATTCGATAAAATTTTCTGTGACCTTACTCATGTCCTGTTTATTAACAGGAAACAAAGAAGAAGTAGTAGAAGATAGGATTTTAACTACTGAGTATACCTGCTTCTTGGCCGTGACCCACAGTGGTTCTCCTCCGTTCCACCACCGAGTCTCCTTGGTGCCCAGGTTGAAGCTGGCATTGAACACGGGGTCGTACATGTAGTTACCAACAATTCCATGACTCTCCTCCCACAGACCTGACAACCAAACCAAGGTAATCCTTATATATTTAGCTTAGATAAGTAGCCTGAAATCACTGCTTTACTGAGTGACGATAAACGTAATCCATCCATGACACTGATACGTCTTAGATCTACCATGTACTGACAAAATGCCTTTTGTTCTCAGCGGTTCAACTGCTCCCAATACACTACTAAAAGGCGGCAAACCAATTATGTAATAAATGAATGAATTTATATTGCTTTAATTTACGCCCTGTCACTAATTTTCAAGCTTTCGCGGCAACCAATTATGTAAGATCTTTCCCGCTTTTTACTGGAACTACGAGCATGTATCTGTGCGAAATACGCACCATGTCGGAAAACGCACGTAAATCCCCAAATCATCATCGTCATCATCATCATCATCATTATCATCATCGCAAAGCAAGCATGGCATGGTACCACTGCTTGGAGGAGCAAAATGTTACTCACAAGCAAGCTACAAGGGAACATATGTTATAGAGAAAGAGAAAATATTTTATTTGTGTGTCACATGTTATATATAAAACATACATAGACTTAAAACATTCAATAAAATATAACATCCGGCCATATGGCCTATGAGACACAAAGGCACTATATTATATCTAAAACAGATAGTAGTAAATAAGATATATTATTATCATGTTATATATATTTGAGATTACACTTTCTCAGTTACTATTACATGTTATATTTAACAGCTTTTAGAACGTCACTGGGCATCTATCTGGCTTGGCGTTATATATCACGTGATACCCATGTGATGTCGATGACGGGTCACGTGCATTACACAGTCGTGTAACACGTGATACTTTCGAGGCGAGGGGGTGACTCGTCAAGTCATTTAGTGAGAGTTAGTTCATATGAATAAACTCGAATTCCAGCCAAGGCCTACATAGAGCACACCTAATTGGTATAATGCCAAGTCGTCTAGTTATATGCTGGACTAAGTGAGAGTATATATGTTTTCTGTTATTCGGACCCTGGAAAAGCAGTTAGACAGGATAGGTGACCTGTTGGATGTAAAACTCATTGTAATGTAGATGTGGAAGAGGGATGAACGATCTGTAAGACCTGTTACACTACAATCTGAAGACGATATAAAAAGTAGACAAAACAGTTGAATGAAACAAAATGTTTGCCAAATTCAATAACCTTTCTACGCTTGACGACTGTATGAAATATTAAAGTCACTCTTGTCAAGATATGCAATCCTCCTTCACAAATATAGCAATTTTGTCCCCGGAAAATCAGTGCTGATTCTTGCACCACCTTACTACACATTGAACATTGTGTGTATATATACCCCCTTTATGCAATGTAGTAGTTAAGATATACAAGGCAGAATGTTTACCCCCGTTAAATGTATGTATGGGTTTAAGTTCACTGTAGCTGCTTGTACGGGTTTATTCTGTTTCATAAGTTGAGCCCGGATGTGAATGGGGCTGATGTCACAAGTTGTCGACACTGTCAGAATTCCCAAAATGGTTGTATTTACATAATAAACCTTTAAGCTGACGGAGATGAAGGGACGGTGTGCACCTGAACATACAGCACACAACTAGGTCACACGGACTGACTTTTACCTGCTGTGGGCGATATTCATACTCATTTGTTTGTCCTCCAGCTCATCCCGGTAACATATACAAACATCGTGACATCCAGACCCCCGGCGAGAATCTCCCTAGTATAGGAAGGTGGGTGAGTTAGTATGTATTTTCAAAACTGCAGTATTTCAAGCATATCGTGACTAAAACAAGCAATACATGAATAAAACATCTATAATTATAAAACAAAGGACAGTAAAAACACTAGAGTATCACAGATCTATTTTTAAACTAGTAAATATGTATATATTTAAATATTGTTATGTATAACAAAACCAGTATAAAGATGGGCTATAGACCACCAGCAGACAAAGTTAGCACATATAGAAAGGCTTTAACATCTCTGCCCAACATGAGCGACACCTCTTAACCCGGTATACCGTCATCCCGGAAAAAACTCCCGTGTACTCTATGAAAATATATACTGCTATGTTCTAATCTTGATTTCACTGGCAGTGGAACATTCCAAGTGCATAAATGGTGAGTGAGTTGACACTGAAGGTGGAGGGTGGGTATGATAATGATAATAATAAAAAGAAATGTATCCCAACTATTAGAGGTCGATTGGGGAGAAACAAATGATGCGGCAATGATATCCTTGATGAAATTGAACATTAGTTAGGGAAATAGTGATAGGTGGCGATACGTTACATATACATGGAACTGAGAAGTTATCAAAATCTGATAGTCCTAAGTCTGAATCAAAGTCCCTTGAACAGTATTATATTCCCTTCCACTCCAGCCCAGAATCCCTATCATATTGGGGACGGTTCTTCACTTGAAAAATGCATTAATTGTTCTGTCAAAATGATATACATGTATATATATTCAGAGACTAAGGATAAGTTTATCTTAAGACATCCCCCTTCCCCCCCCAGCCGCCTAACTCCACACACCCTCCAACCCCAGTCAACAGTCCAGCAGCCTTACCTGTAACAATGGTATAATGATTAGGAAAGGTGAGAGTTGGGAAGCTGGCGTTCATGTATGTGGCCTGTACTCCCGTCTCCGAACATGTGGAAATGTGGCGTCGAGGATGCGTTGTTGAGATAATCCCACCGGAATCCATCCATGGACACGAGAAGCAGTTTGTTTTGAAGTCATCAGCTGCTGTCCACACAGTCAGGAGAATAAGGATAGCTGCGATCTGGACAGACATGGCGGCAGATAAGGTTCAGTGAACCACTACCTTGTAATGTCCTTGTAAGCGTATGATTTACAGCCCTTTGCCTGCCATATCCCGGTCCCCGAATGCGTATTTGCAATTCGGATGTATGACCTGTTGGATATATTCGTATTCATGATCTGGGCCTTTAAAGTGACACTGGTGGAAACACGATAACATACACAAGAAAACTTTATGGTTGTACGAACGTGCACTATGTCTTTAGTACATAATGCGCAAAGTATACAGTGTTTACTTTCTGAAGAGGCTGGGCATAAATACAAATGTTTAAATGTTTTTCACACGAGTTAACTCAAATTGCCTGGGGAATGAAAGGAGCGTTCGTGCTAGGCGCAATTCACTGAGCACTGTTGAGAGTCTTTCACACGACAGAAAACTGTTATGTTGATTTGAATCCCGGTTCGTTCCGGTTCGTTCGAGGTTTGTCCGGACTATACCCGTGCTCATGGGTTTCACTAAAGTGGTTCAAGTCTCAGGTCTGCTTCGGGCTTTCCTTCCACATTAAACACACCGTGATGTAACAGTTACTGGAATTCCGTTTATTGCAGTGTTTGGTGTACTTGGAAACCATCTATGGAGGCACACACGCACGCACACACGTACGCACACAGAACTACCGAGGAGCCTTAGAACCTATACCTAGTTGATTTGACGTTGAATTTCAGCTGTAAATAAATGAGCCTTATTATATCCGAAATTGAACTGTATCAGTTCGCAGTAAATAATATTTCAACATGGTTAAAATAATTTTGGAAATTAATTTTACCCGTGAAGATCCGTGTTAGAATTTGTCTTCAGTAGCCCATGCTTGTCGTAGGATGAGGTAGTCAGGCTCGATGACTAGAACGTCAGGTGGACGACTGAGCAATTTCATTATATCTTACTTGTCGTGAAGATCCGAGTTAGAATTGATCTTCAGCAAACAATGGTTGTCGTATGAGGCAACTAACGGAGGTGAGTCAGGTTCGTTAACTTGGTAGACGTAGACACATGTTATCGTGTCCCAACTGTGTATATCTATGCTCATGATGTCAGTTGGTCCAGACGCGATTATTTACAGACCGCCGATATATAGATGAAAATTGCTGAGTGTGGCTTTAAACAACAAACAAAACAAAACAGCACTTATTTTGATTTAAAAGTTTAATTTGTTTTGTTTTCTAAAAATTCTTGACACACGTCTGCTGGTGGTTATCTGAGGTATCTTACCTTTAAAAGTTGACAATAAATTTTCCTTTCTCGGCACAGCTTTAATTTTTTTGAAAACATGCATAGTAAGGTAAAATCCAAATCATCTTAACCGGAGGCTTCATTGACATATATGCATTTTGAAAGTGGTCAATGTAACATATGTCATATTTGGTATTACACTTTCTCAGTGAAAATAGATTCTACTACTTTCCCTTGGGTTGAGTCAAGTTAACAATTGAAATCTGTCATATCATGAGGACACAGTGGGTGCACTTAAAATCTGAGATTTCCAATCCACACCCTCAGAGACATGCACACATTCTGTTCACCAGCTTAATCATAGATATTCTGTTCTAATATTTACCTAAACTTTTAGAGGGTTAACTTTGTGTTGAGCATGACTACAATACACATTCTGTTCATCAGCTTAATCACTGATATTCTGTCCTAATATTTACCTTAACTTTAGAGGGTTAGCTCTGTGTTGAGCATGACTAAAACACACATATTGTTCCTCAGTTTAATCACTGATATTCTGTCCTAATATTTACTTTAAAACTTTAGAGGGTTGTTTTGTGTTGAGCATGACTATAACACACATTCTGTTTATCAGTTTAATCACTGATATTCTGTCCTAATATTTACCTAAAACTTTTAGAGGGTTAGCTTTGTGATGAGCATGACTAAAACATACATATTGTTCATCAGCTTTACAATTACTGATATTCTGTCCTAATATTTACCAGGATTAACTTTGTAGAGGGTCAGCTTTGTGTTGAGCTGACTAAACACATTCTGTTCATCAGTTTAATCACAGATATTCTGTTCCTAATATTTACCTAAACTTTAGAGGGTTAGCTTTGTGTTGAGCATGACTAAAACACAGATTCTGTTCATCAGTTGAATCATTGGATATTCTGTCCTAAATATTTATCTTAACTTTAGAGGGTCAGCTTTGTGTTGAGCATGACTATAAAACACACATTCTGTTCACCAGCTTAATCAAAGAT